ACCGCGGCGTCTGGCCCCCGCGCGACTCGCTTGGAAGACGCCGCCAGCTCCGGTGGCCCGAGTGACTTCCAGGCTGCCCACTTCCAAGCCGCTTCGCGCGAGACCTCCTGGGAACTGTAGTTTTCGCCGCTCGAGGACGAGAGAACTGAAGGGAGCCTAACGCGTTCGCGCAAGGAGGCTGCCGGGAGCCGTAGTCACACCAACTACCGCGATATCTTCTGGGAAATGTAGTTTCACTGGTCGCTTCCTTGCTGCTGCTACGGTCTCCACAGAACACTTCCGCAGCCCGGAGGGGCGTGAGGAGACCGGGAGTGTGGGGGGGGGGGTTGGAAAGGGGGAAAGGGGGAGTGTCTCGTGGACGGCTGCAGCCCTCGAGCTGCGCTTCACACTATACCCGTGGCCAGTTTTTCATCTGCGGTGTTTGCGCTCTCCTCTCTCTCTCTCTCTCTCTTTTTCTCTCTCTCTCCTCTCTCTCCCCACTCAGTAGACCTTCTCTCTTCCCCTTCTGAGGGACGCGAGTCACTTGCCCTGGAGCGCCAGCCTGGGAGAGGCGCGAGATAAAAACGAGGCCCTGCGCTAGACACACCCCCCTCCTTCGGAGAGGGACGCGGGAGAAGGGTGGCGGTGCGCGCCCCCGTGGGCGCGCTCCCTTGCGTGCGCCCGCACACGTGCGCGCCCTCCCCAGGTAACTCCTGGGGAGTCCCATCGGGACTCCCTCTCCTTACTAACCCCTTTTTCGGATGCGTGTGCGCGCTTTGCGCGCGTTCTCGCGCTTCGTGTGCCAGTGCGCACGCGCGCTCTCGCCCTCCCTGAGTCCTCGGAGCCTCCGCGGGGCGTGAGGTTGCGGGATTAACCAACCGCCGGGGTCCGCGGACTCTTCCCCCGCGGCATCAGGCGCTTGCCTTTAGGTTTTGATCGTTCACGTCGCAGCTCCTGGGTACCGCAATACTCTCCATACCCATCTCAGTTTAGTCAGGAATCTGGTCGCAGGTAACTGGAGGGGGGAGGGGGGCCAAGGAGGTCCCCGGGGTTACGGTGGGGGTGGGGCTGCCCAGGGCACCTTATGTTTCAATTTAGTTCACCTGCTGACATAACCAAAGATTCGGCTTAAAAAAAAATACCCCTCTCTCTTTTCCAAGTGAATATTGCCACTCCTACCCTTTGTAAGGGTGACTGGGGCAATTTTTGAATGGCAGAGATCTGTGGTCAAGAAACCTCATCCATAATACCTTCCTGCTTTGGCCTGCTTTCAGGAAGATGCATAGTACGACCTGAAGCTGGGAGAGGGCAAAGAATCCATCATTCATTTGTCCACTTCTTCAATGAAAATGAAAATGTGTTAAGTACTCAGTCCTCAACAGCTTGATAATGGAGAGTGGAATCCTACCCTCAAGGGAGCTCATCAGTTCCGCAGGCATTTGAGCCTGCCTTCCGGCATCTCTAGCACCTAATATTTCTACCGTTAGAAATTTAAACTAGCCGGGCCCAGGTAGCTCACGCCTGTACTAGCTACTCAGGAAGCTGAGATCTGAGGATTGAGGTTCAAAGCCAGCCTGGGCAGGAAAGTCTGTGAGACTATTATCCAATAAAACACCAGAAAACCAGAAGTGACGCTGTGGCTCAAGTGGTAGAATGCTAGCCTTGGGCTGAAGAGCTGAGGGACAGTGCCCAGGCCCAGAGTTCAAGCCCAACGACTGGCAAGAAAGAGGAAGGAAGAAAGGAAGGGAGGAAGAAAATTAAAGAAAGGAAGAAAATGAAAGAAAAAAAGAAAGGAAGGAAAGAAAGAGGAAGGGAGGAAAGAAAGAGAGGCAAGAAAGAGGAAGGGAGGAAGAAAAAGAAGGAAAGAAATTTAAACTGGGCACTATTGGCTCACAGCTGTAAGCCTAGCTACTCAGGAAGCAGAGATCTGGGGAATTATAGTTTAAAGCCACCTGGGCAGGAAAGTCCATAAGACTTTTTTTTTTTTTTGTCGGTTGTTGGGCTTGAACTCTGCGCCTGGATGCTGGCCCTGAGCTCTTCAGCTCAAGGCAAGCACTCTACCACTTGAGCCACAGCATGGTTTTCTGGTGGTTAATTGAAGAGTCTCATGGGAATTTCCTGCCTGGGCTGGCTTTGAACAGCAATCCTCAGATCCCAGCCTCCTGTGTAGCTAGAATTACAGGCGTCAGTCACCAGTGCCTGGCTCATGAGACTCTTAATATCCAGTTGATCACCAAAAAGCTTGAAGTAGAGCTGTAGCTCAAGTGGTAGAGCACTAACATTAAGGGAAAAGCTAAGGGTCTGGAACCAAGCCAAGTTCAAGCCCCAGTATACACCCCCCCACACACACACACATACTACACACACATTAAATTTAATTCAAGATTCATATGCAATTTTAATTTTACATAAATCCAGTAAAACTAATGACTTATTTAGCTCAAATACATTCAGAACATTTTAGGCTATGTTGAATGGAAATATTTTCTGCTGCTTTAGTTTTGCAATTTAATTAACAGAGTTGTTTGTGGAATAGGTCCTAGTAGCAAAAGGTTGGAAGTTGCCCAATGTTCATTAACAAAAACTTGGAGAAACAAGTAATAGTTAAATCACACAGTGGAATACTCTGCAGTTGGAAAGTTGAGAATTGAGGCAGAGCTCATTTATTAATATACTAATTCATATATTAATCAGTTGATCTCTAGATATAGGAAGGGAAATATGCAGAACATTATATAGAACTTGTCTTACATATTAGAAAAAATTACATATATACTTGTGTATGTACAGAACACTTTTACAACAAAACAGAAAGGACAGATCTGGGAAGGTGGCTCAGTGGTAGAGTGCTTGCCTTGCATGTATGAGGACCTGGGTTCCTCAACACCAGAAGTGGCACTGTGGCTCAAGTGATAGAGCGAAACCTTGAGCTGAAGAGCTGAGGGACAGCGCCCAGGCCCAGTGTTCAGGGCCTCACCACCAACCAAAAAAAAAAAAAAAAACCAGAAAGGACACAACCAGGATTACTTTAATGAAAGAGAAACAGGACTGGTGGTCACGTGTGAATTTTTTTTAATCATGTTCATTTTTAAGTCATTTAATGGGTGATAATAGCTAGTCATAAAACCAGTTTAAGAATGAAAACATACATAAAAGCCAGGTGCCAGTATCTCTTGTCTGTAATCCTAACTACTCAGGAGGCTTAGATTGAAGGACTGAGATTTGAAACTAGCCCAGGCAAAAAGTCCTCAAGATTCCATGTCCAATTAGCCGTTTAGTGTGACTCAAATGTTAGAGCACCAGCCATGAGCAAGAGAGCCAAGCGAGTATGAGATTCTGTGTTCAAACCACAGTCCTAGATGCTATCATTACTCCCAGTGATCATGGGAAATTCTTCCATTCAGTGACACTAGCCAACCTGTTAAGGTACATTGTAAGCCTAGACAATAGTTTTTCTTCATAAAGAAACATAAGTGCATTCTAGCCCTATGTATGGAGATACTGAAGTTCTTTGTACTCTGAGACCCTGAGAATGAAGTTGGGCTCTTTAGTAATGTCATAAACAGAACAGCTAAACTAAGCCTGACTCTCTGAATGTACAATCAACTAAGTAGGCTCTTCTGGTGCCATTGGATTTTCTATACCCCTCTACTTAAATTTTATGAGGCTTCTACCTCAAAGTGAGGTACATATATGAACCTCATTTGGGTAGTTCAGATTTTTTTGGGGGGGGCGGTCATGGGGCTTGAACTCTGGGGCCTGGATGCTAGCCCTCAGCTCTTCAGCTCAAGGAGAGTGCTCTACCACTTGAGCCACAGTGCCACTTCCGGTTTTCTGGTGGTTCATTGGAGATAAATCTCATGGACTTTCCTGCCAAGACTGGCTTTGAACTATGATCCTCAGATCTCAGACTCCTTGAGTAGCTAGGATTACAGGTGTGAGCCACTGGCGCCCGGCAGTTCAAATCTTTTTGTTATATGTATTCATGGTATTTCGTACCTTACCTTTGCAAAACTGAATCTCAGAAGTTGAACATGTGGTGCAGGCTTGTAACTGCAGTCCAGGCTAAAAGCAAGAGGATCATTTGTGTCTACAATTTGGAAACCAGCCTGAGAGCAACATAGTGAAACACCGTAACAAATCAAAACCCCCCTCAAAAAGAAAAATGAATCAATAGTGAAATTTCTGTTTGAGAAAATTAAAAATTACAAAAGAGATGGAAGAATAAACCCCTACTCATAACTTCCCATTGTAATCAACTTTTTGCCTGACTACTCTCTGGTGTGTGCCTTCCTGCTAAGTTGGATGGACAGTTGTAAAACAAAAACAGAAAACTCTAGGAAGCAAGAAGCTGCCTCTAGTTTATCCCCTCTTAAGTTGATCTCACACACACACACACACACACACACACACACACACACACACACACACACACACACACACACACACACACACACACACACACACACACACACAGTGCCAATGAGTGCCCCAAAGGAAAGCCAAAGGGCCTCACAGTATGGTGGAGTGCAGTGCCCTCTAGAGGCAACTCCATTACAAGGCAAAGCTCAAAGGACATGCTTTCAGCCGCTGTACCTTGCTTGAATTGAAACTAAGAAAAAAAAAAAAAGTAGTTCAAGTAACACAAACCTACTTTTTCTATATAGTTAGCAGGACATACCACACCTTAACCCCAAATACTCCCTGAAATTGAGCACAGGGCTTGAATTGTCCCATCAGGTTGTCTTTGGACTATCAAGACACTAAACAGCTAAGACTACTAGAATTCAGTCAACAACAGGCTTGCTTTTTTTTTTTTTTTTCACTAGGCCTAGTGATTGCTATACAGGTGCTCTACCACTTGAGCTATATCCTCAATTCTTGTGCTGGTTGTTTTAATTATTTGTTGGATAGTTATTGTCCTTTGACTCCTAGTTCTTTGAAAAATAACATTGGCTAAGTAGCCCTCTTTTGTATTCCCACAGGTTTTAAGCAACAGTCCTGAGGGAAAAATCAAGGTGATGTCTTCCCCCAGACTCATTCCCATCTGGAAGGATTATAAGTATCAAATAAATGACATCTTAAATAAAAAGGTAATGTATATGTAAGATGTAAGCATGTCTAACTTACAGTAATGAATACTTCAAGAGAGACAAAGATTGCAAATGCAAGAAGAAAACAGAATAGACCATTAAAACAAATGTCACTGTTGTAGAGAAAGGACCAAGTCCCAAATAAGTCTATAAACCTCTTACAAGGACATTTTAGTGGCACTGCTTAAGGAACCAACATTCTGAGAAGAGATTTCCCAAGAAGAAGGAAGTGACCAGAGAGAATATTTGCAAACCAGTTTTGCTATGTGAGATGGACCCCAGATGAATGTCTCAGTGTGTATGTCCTTTCTCTGTGGGATAATACATATTGCATATGTGCAGCTCTTAAGTCAAATGTGAAGGCTAGATAAGGGTTCTCAAAGTTTTACTTGTGCAATAAAATTTGTTTTGGGTACCAGTTCTGGGGCTTGAACTCAGAGCCTGGACACTGAGGCACTATCCTGAGCTTTTTTGATCAAAGCTGGCACTCTATCACTTGAGCCACAGCTCTACTTCCAGCTTTTATTAGTGGTTAATTGGAGATAAGAGGCTCATGGACTTTCTGCCCAGGCTAGCTTTGAACTATGATCCTCAGATCTCAGTCTCCTAGGATTATAGGCATAAGCCACCAGCAGGTTGGCTTAATATTTAATAATTGAACTGCTTTTAATTTGGACACAACCTGTTAAGGTACTTGTGGCTATTAGATAACATAGTTGACTTATCTAGATAATTTGTTACATGTTGTATCTTTTATAATCCATGTATCTTTGTTGTTGTTGGTTCATTCCAGTCCTGGGGCTTGAACTCAGGGCCTGGGCATTGTCCCTTAGCCTCTCTGTGCTCAAGGCTAGCACTATACCACATGAGCCACAGCACCACTTGTAACCCAGGGCTTCATGCGTGCTAGGCAAGCACTCTACCACTAAGCCACATTCCCAGTCCTGATCCATGCATCTTTTACACACATGGAAGACTATTTAGGCCTCGTATGCTAATTTCACTTGGAAAGATTATTTCCTTTGTATTCACAATACAAAATCTAGGATCTAGGGGGATCTAGTTCCCTCATGTTTTGTGGAGGTTTGTTCTATGTATTATGAGTGTATTGGGAGTTAGGAGGGATCTGAGCATGACTTGGGGAATTGCTTCAATCTTGACTTTTTTGAGAAAAAAATTTAGTGTATGTGTATCTTAGCTTTAGTTTATGCCATGCCTCTCCCAGGAATCTGAGAAGCCAAAGAGTGACATAGTTGTGCTGAGTGACCGGTCCCAGATACTGTACAGAGAAACTCACTTCCCTCAAAGTATGCCACTTATATGCCAGTATTTCAATGATGCCTTCTTCTTCGCTTCCCTCTCATGGGTGAACTCCTACACGAAAGAAGTACAGGTAATGCTGTTTCCTCCCCCCTTCTCTTTCTTCCTTTCTTTCCCTTCCTTACCTCCTTCCCTTCCTTCCTTCTTTTCTTCCTTCCTTCTTTCATTCTTTCCTTCCTTCCCCTTCCCTTCCTTCCTTCCTGTTGCTTTCTCTCTCCCTTCCTTCCTTCCTTCTTTCTTTCATGTGCCAGTACAGGGCTTGAACTCAGAGCCTGGATGCTTGCTATCCCCCTTGAGTTTTTCTCTCAAGCCTGGCACTCTACCACTTGAACCATAACTCCAGCTCCATTTCCAACTTTTGTGGTTGTTGATTGAATATGAGTTTCACAGACTTTCCTGCCCATGCTTCAAACTATGATCATCAGATCTCAACCTCCTGAGTGGCTAGAATTACAGGTGTGAGCCACTCATGCCCAGCTTTTCCTCCCTCATCTTAGCTTGTTCTCCAAGGGCAATGCCTCCATAGCTCACAACCAGATTAGCAAAAAAAAAAAATGAATACAATCTTGAACCATGATTCCCCCCATTCTCTCTAAAATTGCTTTTTTTTCTTTTTTTGGCCAATCATGAGGCTTGAACTCAGGACCTGAGCACTGTTTCTGAGCTCTTTTGCTCAAAGCTAGTATTCTACCATTTTGAGTCACAGCACCACTTCTGGCTTTTGGTGGTTAATTGGAGATAAGAGTCTCACGAACTTTCCTGCCCCAGCTAGCTTTGAACTGCGATCCTAATATCTCACCTCCTGAGTAGCTAGGGTTACAGTCATGAGCCAGTGATGCCCTGCTCTAATTGCTTTTTTGTAAGACTTTATGGCTCTCCTAAAGTAAGTCAAGGTCAAGCAAAAGGTATTTTGTTTTGAACTCCCAACAAAAGAAGGTAGAATCTTCCATTTTCTTATTAGCAAATGAACAAGTCAAAGTAGATGAGTATTGGATCTTTCCTCCTCTTTCTAGGCAATCATGTGTGTGCACATGCACACACACACACACACACACACACACACACAGATCCTGAGGCTTGAACTCAGGTCCTGATTGCTGTCTCTTGAGCTTTTCTGCTCAAGCCTGGCACCCTATCACTTGAACCATAGATCCACTTCTGGATTTTTGGTAGTTAATTAGATATAAGCATCTCAGGGCCTTTCCTTCCTGGGCTGGCTTTGAACCTCAATTCTTAGATCTCCTACAGGTATGAGTCAGTTGCACCCAGCCTTAGGTATATTTTTAAATTTTATCTTATGCTCTTCCAGGCTGTAGTCTGGACAAAAAGCAAAAGCGAGGACATGGTTGAGAAGAAAATGTTTCCCATGAGTGAACGGTTGCCACCCATCCAGTTGATGGTCCACGCTGGTTCCTTTCATATCCTCGTGGTCTACTGTGGTGACCTCTTCCTGCGGCTTTTTGGGGATCACTTTCGGTCCTTCAAGTCTATGGGCACAGTATCCTGCCGCTTCAACATCAGCTGCCTCTGCTATGACCCAGAAACAAAGATGCTTCTGTCTGGTAATCTGGGGGGAATAGTCACCTGGACTATTGAGCGGGGTGGTACAGGCCTCCAGATAGCTCGCATGTTTCCCATACCAGGTGAAGAGCTTGTGCAGGACATCTTGCTGAGTGGTCCTGATGACTGCCTTCTTGCCCTGTGTGAGACTGTGGTGAGGGTCCTAGAACGCCAGGGCCATGGCAATCTACAAGAGGTAAAGAAGTTTACCACCCCTACCAGTGGCTCCTCTATCACCTGCTGCTTTACCTGCTTTGAACTGGGCTTTCTCTATGCCGGAAACAAGGCTGGGGAAATCCATGTCTGGAACCTCAAACAAAGCCAGCCTCTCCACAATTTCATGGCCCATTCTTCAACAGTGATATGTATTCGTAGCCGGCCGGAGGCTCACATTCTGCTATCAGCTGGCCGAGAAGGCATAATCAAGGAATGGAATCTCACTTCTGGGAATTTACTTCGGCGACTAGAACTTGAAGAGCAGTTATTCCGCCTCCAATTTATTGATGACACCACTTTTTATTGCCAAACTTCCCATACTTTTTCCTTACATCGTCTGCCCTGCTTCTATAGCCTCTTTAGCGTCTGTGGCTGCACCACCCAGCAGGTGCGTCGAATCCGCTGTGGAGAGAACTGGTACCGAATCCTGTGTACTACAGAGGATGGCCTCATGCGCTTTCTGTCTCCAATCACGGGGGAACTTCTGGTTGTCACCTGGCCCTTTGTCATCCTGGACAAGGCTGTGGATTGGGCCTATGATCCAATGAGGGAGGAACTCTTTGTAGCCACAGGCACCTCAGAGGTGCTGGTGTTTGACACAACCCGCTCCCCTTGCCCAACTAAGTATTTCTTATGCACCTCAGTAGATTCTCGAGACATGGTACAGTGCCTGGCTTATGGGCATTTCCAACTGGGGTGGGGAACAGAAGGACTGATATTCTCTGGACACCAAAGTGGAATGGTAAGAGTGCTTTCCCGGCACATGTGTGCCCGAGTTGAGAAACTTACCCACTACGGGGCTGTATTGGCGCTCTCTACAATGACTGCAGGGATCTTTGCTAACCGAGAAAGTTCTTTGATCTGTTCCTATGGAATGGATGATTATATACACCTATCAGAAGTCATGTTTGAAGGAGCCAAAGTACAACTGCGGCCTCTAGCCAGCGTTCTCAGTAGCTGTCATCTGAAACACATGATCCTCTTGCCCCATTCTGTGTTTGCCATCACAGATAGTAACTGCCTACGTTTCTGGGAGTTCCGTGAATTTCTGTGCACTGGGTCAGACAAAGGCTCAGATTTCACTGAAACATTACCTCTACACCAATGTACCATCATATCTTTCGATGTCTGCTTGTCCTTGAGTCTTTTTGTCACAGCTGGTGCTGATGGCTCTGTCCGGCTCTGGAATTTCCGTGGTAGACTCATATCCATGTTGGATTCATCACTTCACTTTGGTGCACTGTGTTTTGCAAATAACCGGGGTGACCTCCTTGTGAGTTTCAACCAGAGTCTTTATCTGATATCATCTTTAAAACTGCTTCCTCAGTCCCTGCTGTCTCACTTATACTTTTTGACTGTACCCGATGAATTACTTGAAGCTCCTAAGCCTTTCATACCAAGTTTCTTTCTCTCTTTTGAGACCCTGTTTGTGCCCAAGTATATCAACCGGGTTCAAGGGAAACAGGAATTAGTGGGTCTAGAGCCCCTTATCAATAAGCGGGCCATTGCCTTCGACCATTCTGTGCCACATGTTATAGAAGAGGATGAGGATGGGACCATTGTGTTATTGAGTGCTCCCCAATATGATTCTTTCGAGGCAACAACAACTGTCCAGAAAAAGAAGTCAAAACGGGCCCAATTCAATTATGTGTTTCCTCCCCAATTAGTGATGACCAGTTGGGATGGGCTCAACCCCTATCAGATACTGAGATGCTACTTTGGTCAGGGGCAAAAATGGCTTCTTGCCCCTGATTGCTACATTCCCAACTCTGTGATCCGTGCCCGTCTTTGGCCAGAGGGCAGCCCAATATTTCTACAGTGCATTGTGCACTCCCCTCAGCGGGAACTGGAATGGGACAAGCCTCAACCTCTCTCCTTCTGGCACAAAAGAAAAAGAGTTAAAAGTGATACGAGAACTCTTCCAGAGGAGAAAGAGGATGAATCCTTTCTGGAAGACAGACTAACCAAGGATGCAACCTACAGTGTCCTCACAGATGCAAGCCGCAGCTGGCTGGGAAAAAGGATGAGTGAAGCAACTCTGAATAATCTGATTGAAGCTGTCCTTAATATCATGGTCCATGCTAATTCAGTAAAGTATCAGTGCTGTATTAGTGTACTAGGGCAAATCTTTGCCTCTTATCAAGTTTCTCCAACTCTGCGCTCTGAGACAGCTCATCGTTTGCTAGATGATACAGTAAATCCCAACTCAATGATCCGAGAACTAGCCTGGGAAGGGTTAAAACGTCTAGGAATAATTACTCATCTTTTTGCCTTGCCTCTGGCCCAAGGACTATTGGATAAGGATCCAAGAGTAAGGAATAAAGCCCTGGCACTCATGGCTGATACTGGAATCCACACAAAAACTTCACTCTTAAGCTTGATACAGAGACGAGATCTTTTCCGGGAGTTACAGTAAGTTATTGATTACTTTCCTCAATTTTTTACCACTTGCTGATTTTTGTCTTCCTTGCCCCCATTTTCCTTCATTTTTCTTTTCATCTCTTCATCCCTGTTTTATTAGTTCTCCATGATCTTCTCTTTCATAGCTTAGAAAAAATTAAATTTCAAGCTGGGCACCAGTGGCTCATGCCTATAATCCTAGCTACTCAGGAGGCTGAGATCTGAGGATCATGGTTCAAGGCCAGCCCAGGCAGGAAAGTCCATGAGACTCTTATCTCCAGTAAACCACCAGAAAACCAGAAATGGTGCTGTGGCTCAAGTGGTAGACTACTCGCCTTGAACTGAAGAACTGAGGGACAGTGCCCAGATCCAGAGTTCAAGCCCCACAACTGATCAAAAAAACCCTAAATTTCTGGGCTATCACTGACAATCCTGAAAACTCTTTTCTCTATCTCTTTGCCTTTTCCGGTCCTCTAAGCTCCTGAGCTCCCTTTGTCATCTTTTTTTTTATATTATTTTATTGTTATCAATTGAGGAGTTTTAGAAGGGTTACAATTCCATAAGTCAGGTAATGAGTACAATTCATCTTAGACAATGTCACCCTTTCCTTTGCTTTCTCCCAGCTTCCCCCTCCTAACCTTGCCCACAAATTGCATAGTCCATTTTTTACATAGTGTATACTGGATACCATGACTGAATTTGTTCACCATACCTCTATTTCTGTTCCTTTTGTCATCTTTCTCTCTACCTCTGTAGCTTCCCTTCAGATCATCCCATCTTGACTTTCAAGACTGCAGAGGCCATCATTTGACTGTAGCTATGCTGTCTCTTTTGGGCACTCTTTCAACTCCCTGCCTGTTTTAAGTTCTTCTCATTCTCTCCTTTGATTTTTATAGGCAAGAGATGATTGGGGAGGAATCCCTGGACCATTTGCTGGGGATTCGGCCAACAGATATACAAATCCTTGTCTCTCAACTGGAACAGAGACTAAATGAAGACTTAACCCCATCAGAAGATAAAAAGGCTGAGGTTTTTTCAGATGTCTCAAAAGAATCTCTGCATAAACTATCTTCCTTGCAACTCATAGAGTCTGAAGAATCAGAAGTCAAGCCACCCAAACAAATAAAACAAGCCCGAACAGCCGGGAAAAAGCACTGTATGTATGGGATGATCTGGTCCATGCCTCTGGGTCCCCAAAGAGGCAGGGTAGTTAGGGTCTGTAGGTCAGTAGATACTAATGTGGGAAGAGAGGTAAGTAGAATGAGCTTGTCATAGAAGACAATTATCCTAGGAATGATCCACCTAAATCAGAAAGGCACAAAGGCTTATATCTAAAATTGGTGGTCAGAGAAGCATCTGGGAATTGGGAATCCTGAAAGTAAGTGTGTGTGTCTGTGTATTCTGGGGCTTGAATTCAATTCAGAGCCTGGGTGTGTCCCTTGGCTTTTTTGTCCAAGGCTAAACACTTGAAGCCACAGCTCTACTTCCAGCTTTTTGGTGGTTAACTAGAGATCACGAGCCACCTATGCCTAGCTGTTGTTACTTCTTTTTTTTTTCCCCTTGAACTCTGGGCCTGGGCACTGTCCCTCAGCTCTTCAGCTCAAGGCTACTACTGTACCACTTGAGCCACAGCACCACTCCCGGTTTTCTGGTGGTTTATTGGAGATAAGAGTTTCACAGACTTCCCTGCCTGGGCTGGCTTTGAACCATGATCCTCAGATCTCAGCCTCCTGAGTAGCTAGGATTACAGGCGTGAGCCACTGGCACCTGGCTTGTTGTTACTTCTTTTATGGCATTTCCTCTTAGCTCACACCAGGTTTAGGAAGAGTTTCATTTAGTTTCTGATGCTTGACTTAACTTCTACCTCCTGGTTTTCCCTGCAGTGCGAAAACTGATTCGAGCTCTCAAGATATTGAAAATGGGAGAAGCTAAACAAGTAAGCGTAGAGACACCTGTGGAGGCTGAAGTTGAGGCTGAAGCCACCACAGCTGAGATGGAGGACATATCAAGAATATCTTCAGTAAGCAGTGTAATGAAGTTGCCTAAAGATGTCTCAAGGGATGTCTCAAAGGATGTCTCAAGGGATGTCTCAAAGGATGTCTCAAGGGATGTCTCAAAGGAGCACATGGCTGCAACGGTTAAATTGCTGAGGAAGCAGCACAAAAAAGGCAAACCACAGAAACTCAGAAAAGAGCACAAGAAGCAAAAAAAAAAGGTAGTTGAGAAACCTTTGCCTCCAGTAAAACCAAAACCAGTTAGGAGAAAGATTCCTTCTAGGCGGGGTGCTGCTGGAGAACCTGGTACTAAAGGAGATACTTCATGGCGGAATGATCTATGTCGTCTTATGGCTCTAAGGATATCTACCTCCCATGCAGAAATGGAAAAAGATCTAGACAATGAGCTGGTGGCTATAGCTCAGGAGATGTTAGCAGATCGCCGCCCCAGTTGGGAACTCTTTCAGCAGATCTGCCCCAAGAAAGACAGTGAGGATATGTTTGCAGAATTTGACCAGGAAGTAGACTCGCAAGAGAAGAAAACTTTTATCCATGAAAAAGCAATTAAGGAGGACCTGGTGATCACAGATGAGGAAGAGAAGCCAGAGAGTACTGAAGTACAAGAGGAAGAGGAAGAACAAGAGGAAAAGGAAGAGTTGGAGGAACTGGTTCTAAAAGACAAGAAAAGGAAAGTGATTTTTTTAGAACCAGGTGAGCCACCAAAGGGAAAGCGAAAGTTGAAGAAAGAAGAAAAGAAACCCAAGAAGGAAGAGGAGAAAACAGTCCAAGAAGAAAAGAAATTAGGTAAAAAAGAGAAGGAAGAGAGGGATTTGAGTATGTTTCTTCCAAAGAAGGAAGAGGCTGAGCCAGAAAAACCAGTTCGTTTTGAGAGGGAGATGTCTTTTAAAGAATGGAAGTTATCTTGGGATGATTGGAACGAAGCCCAGAGGAAAAAAAAGGTAACATGGGAAGAATGGAAAAAAGACTGGGACAGGCGGTATCTTGAGAAAATGAAAGAGGAAGAGGAAATGAAAGGAGAAGAGGAAAGGAAAAGGAAAAAGAAAGAGAAAAGGAAAGAGAAAAGGAAAGAGAAAAGGAAAGAGAAAGGGAAAAAGAAAAGGAGAAAGGAAGATGAAGTGGGAGAGGAAGAGGAAGTAGAAGAGGAAGAAGTGGAAGAGGAGGAAGTAGAAGAGGAAGAAGTGGAAGAGGAGGAAGAGGAAGAGGAGGAAGAGGAGGAAGAGGAGGAAGAAGAGGAAGAGGAGGAAGAGGAAGGGAAAGAGAAAGTGGAAGGGAAAAGGAAAAGGAAAAGGGAATGGAAAGGGAAAGCAGAAAAGAAAAGGAAAGGGAAAGAGGAAGTGAAAGGGAAAGAGAAAAGGAAAGGGAAAGGGAAAAAGAAAAGGAGAAAGAAAGATGAAGTGGGGGAGGAAGAAGAAGTAGAAGAAGAAGAGGAAACAGAAGAGGAAGAAGTGGAAGAGGAGGAAGTAGAAGAGGAAGAAGTAGAAGTGGAAGAGGAGGAAGTAGAAGGGGAGGAAGAGGAAGGGAAAGAGGAAGTGGAAGGGAAAGGGAAAAGGGAATGGAAAGGGAAACTGGAAAAGAAAAGGAAAGGGAAAGAGGAAGTGAAAAGGAAAAAGGAAAAGAAAGGGAAAAGGAAGGAGGAAGAGGAAGAGGAAAAGGAAGTGAAACTGAAAGAGGAAGAGAAAGGGAAAAAGGAATGGAAAGGGAAAGAGGAAGGGAAAGAGGAAAAGGAAGAGGAAGGGAAAGAGGAAAAGGAAGGAGGAAGGGAAAGAGGAAAAGGAAGAGGAAGGGAAAGAGGAAAAGGAAGGGAAAAAGGAAGGGAAAAAGGAATGGAAAGGGAAAGAGGAAGAGGAAGAGGAAGAGAAAGGGGAAAAGGAAGTGAAAGGGAAAGAGGAAGGGAAAGGGAAAAAGGAATGGAAAAGGAAAGAGGAAAAGGAAGAGGAAGAGGAAAAGGAAGTGAAAGGGAAAGAGGAAGTGAAA